GCATATCGTCGCGGCCGGTCATGGGCGGCGCCTCCGGTGCCCTTCGACGCCTGGGCAGCTGCCGCGCGGCGCTGCGCTGCCTGCGCCGCCGTCTGCGCCCACGCCAAGTAGCCGCGGCTCGCGCGCGGCCGAGGGCGCGACGCCGCGCCCTGGCCCCCCCGCCGCTACGAGACGCGGGAACTGGGCCGACTATAGACATGGAGAAGCAGATGATTTGCAGTCGGGAAGCCAGGCACGTTCCTCGTCTGCCGATGGAGCTCATGCACATGATCGCCGGGCTGGCTCCGCTAATCGCAGGAATCGAGATGCTGCAGGAGCAGGCAACTGTGACACATCCTGGCACTACCATGCCAAGAACGGAGATTACGGGGTCTTAATGTTGTCGAAAAGAATTAGCAGCATTGGTGCACCAACGATAGTCACGCGTGCTTCAATCGTCGGTAGAGGCAAAGAAGAAGTCGATACCGGGTTAGCCGGCGTGGTCATACTTGTTGAAAAAGATTTGGACAAAGTTTCAGACCCAGAACACCAACATTCACTTTTGATGCCGTGTGCTATTTTGGTTGTGAGATTCGTCGGTTTGTTTCGGCCCTCCTCAAGTGAGCTCCATCAGTAGTATCGGCACCACGCCCTCGGCGCTGCAAATGTTTTTGGGCGTTGGCGCCAGGGGGGGCAAAGTGCATGGGAGTTTCAGGAACCCGCGGGGCTTCGAGGGAAGCTGACACTATGGGCCTACTCATCCCGCTGCGAGGGGAGTGGTGCAGCATCTTCCCCTGCCGTCTTTGTACCGCCGCCGCTTGCTGCTATTGCACGATATTGTGTATCCGCAGCTGTTTCGTATCAAGATACTTGGTTGGCACCGCGGGCCAACCTCGCGTTAGCGAAAAGGGAGTGCATCGGATCGTCGCCGCGTCTTCGCCCCCTCTTCCGCGCCCACATACTCCATACATATCAGCTTACCGGATATCACTGCCCAGTCGGTACGACCTGTCCAAAGCAGCAACGAGACCAACATAGCATCATCTTCACACCACACATTTGCCGGGGATCCCGTTCCTCTGGCAAAGAATTCTCGCCGCTGGCCTTGCGGGTCGCAATATTTCTTGTGGTTGCTTCGACCCGCATGGTTGGGTTGCACGCACAGGGTTCACGCAGAAGGTCCAGCACACCATAAAAATCCAGACACACGCACAAACGCACACACACACACACGCACACACACACACACACACACACGCACACACACACACACACACACACACACACACACACACACACGCACAAACACACACACACACACACACATACACATACTCACACGCGCAGACACAGGCACACGCACACACACACACACACACACACACACACAGGTTTCCACCAAGTGGGTGTTACGAGTGTTGTACACACGATCGATTCGGGGCCCACGCGGTGGCACCGTAAAACATGATTAACAGTGAGTTATAACATCGCGTTTCGGCAGCATGGCGAGCCTTGCTGACTGCATTCCTCCCCGTATCCCCAGGCTGCACCCGTGGCCACTGTGTGCTTCAAGTCTTTTTCTGTTTGGGGCGGGCGGAAGGTCCCTGAGCACCCCGAGCCCTACCAGCGGCCCAGACCGCTTGGCTCAAAGGCAGATCTGGTCCCGCTCCAGCCTCGTGGACGCATGATGGAGCCAATGTAGGATTTAGGCTCAGGTTCAACCATCCTGCGCGATCTTGCAGGCCACGTGGAGCAATGTGGGGGCACCTTGGAAGACTTACGCTCGAACCGTTTTGGCACGACTCCGTTCGAGTCTTCCCCCCTTTTAGAAACCCGCGAAACTGGCCTCTTGGGGGAAGTGTTTGAAGAGGGGCAGGAGTATTTCACGCCGAGTAGCCACCCGGGGCCAGCAAGTTTGATATGTGCCTGCGGTAGACGGCCGTGTGGAATACAATGGGCCGACCATAACGGTGCACATTTCAAATTTAGTTTGGCAGAAGGGCCAACAATATGCAGATGTGGGTACCGTCGTTGTGAGTATTACCGTCGGTGAATCTTCTCATGGGGCCACGGAGCGCGTGAAGGGTGTGCCGACATGTGGCGGGACCGCCATGCTGGCACTGCCAGTGGGGCCTCAAGTGGAGCTCCCTATGGGGTCCACGACACGTATAAAAGTGGAACCGCATGCGGGCGCTGCCACTGGAGCTCCCCTAGGGCCACGAAGCGTGTGAGCGGTGCACCGAAATGGCGGATGGAACCGCATGTTGGCGTTGCCACTGGGGTCTTCGGTTGGGTTCCCTATGGGCCGGCGAAACGAGTAAAAGGTTGTGCTGGATTGGGGGTGGAACCGCATGCGGGCGCTGCCACTGGGGCCTTAAGTGGAGTTCCCTGTATGTAGGGTCACGGAACGTGTGAGGAGTGTGCCGACATGGAGGATGGAATTGCATGCGGGCGCTGCCATTGGGGCCATCGGTAGAGCTCCCCATGGGCCCACGCAACGTGTGAGAGGTGTGCCAAAATTGAGGGTGGAACCGCATGCGGGCGCTGCCACTGGGGCCTTAAGTGGAGCTCCCTGTAGGGCCCACGGAACGTGTACTTGTGCGGGGTGCAGAGGCAGTGATGGGAGAAGGGAGGAGGGGGAGGAGGAAGGAGGAGTGAGGCGGCGCGGGGCGCTGTCTCTTCAAAACGAGGACCCAGCACCACAGGATGGTTGGGAAAAACGTATTCGGTTTCACGTACGCTCAGTTGTGTGTGTACATATAAAATATGTGTGCCAACTGAAGCATGTTAGCATCACCGTAATTATGTGCGATATTGATCCGCACACTTTGTGTCGTCTTGGGTAGGGTCAGTCAACGCAACCCGCCCAGATGCAGGTATACGGTTGCAGGCCAGGTCAGCATGAAAAAAGGACACTATTTAATCATTCACGTAGATGGGCAAGGGGGCGTGCATCTCCACAGCGACACGCAGTGTTCGTCAGTGCTGCAGTGGTGGCAACCGCCTTCCCGCGCCAGTGGTGCCAGCCGCCGTGCAGCCCCGCAAACGCGGAGGCGCGGCGGCGATCAGCTCCGGACTGTTCCATTTTGGAGGTCTAAGAACGGGATGCAGGGAGGGGTATTTTTCAGAACCCCGTGGATGATGTACGGCGGTATTTGTTAAGGTATTTCGCTTGCCATGGAGACATTCCACGAGCGATCGTGGGACCTCTTAGAGGTTTTCACTCGCCTTTTTCGCATGCCGGGCACATCATTCCGAGTCACGTGGCGCTTGTCCGGTTGCGGCATGCAGCGGTTACCGCTTGCCGACATGGACCATGGTGATTGTGTTTCGCACAGTGCCGTGAGGATTACAATCGTTATCGTCGGTATGTTTCTCAAGATCACCGCCCGCGTGGTTGTGCCATCGCATTCGTCGCCCTTTGGTTGGGTATGCTTGGATGTGTATGTCCCGTGGTTATGGTCATGTGTCTGTTGTATTTCTGGTTTCTGATCCCGATGCGGTTGTGTTGTTAGGAATTGCGCACCCACAGGTTCAAGCACATGCAAAATTTTCGCATGCCGTCCACAACGACCAAACAAGGACGACCCGTCCCGACCCTTACCCTCCTTCTTCCCTTTCCCCGCCCCCCTTCCCCCTCACACATGGCATACTGGTTTCAATGGATGCACGTTGGTAGGCATGCTGCGTTCTGAGCAGGCCCTGCGCAAGCCATGCGAAAGGAGGGCACTGATTCACGGAAAGGTTAAAGAGACAGCGGGAGGGAGACAGTGTGGCGGGTTTCAGGGACACGAACTGTGGTTTGAATCGATTGGGTTTTGGTTGATCATCAGAAAGGTCATTGTTTCTCGTCTCGCCACCTCCCCACTCTCCCTCAGTCATGGTGTACGGAATCGTGTGGCAACCGTGTTTGTATCGGGAGTGCATGCACATGTCTTACCTCAAGCTTGCATTGCGCATGTCACATAGGGCTTCACTACAAACAACTACCACAAATCGGCTGGCACTAGTCCCATCCTGACTTCGCATCTGAAAAAATGCACCGCATGACCTGAGTAGCTCATCGTCAGCCCAAATATACGTCATCACCATGTGTTTCAAACATGATGCTCATTGACTGCCCATAGCGCTACACTGGCGCATTGTCTAAACACGCGTTGTAAACCCGTTTGAAGTGTCACAGGCGCAGCTCAGCAGTGTCGTCCTGCGAGCGCGCCAGAGGGGGCTAGTCACAGGAAGCCACTGTGCACCTCCATTGAGCAGACGCCTGTCGACGACGTGGCAACACAGAGGCATTTGCCCACCTGCGCCGCCAGCGCGTGGCGACCAGGATCGCCCCCTCCCAGGAGCCTCCCAGGAGCCCCTGGCGCAGCAGCACCACCCACCTACACAACCAGCGGGTGGCGTCCAGGGTGGCCCACCCTGCCAATGCAGTCAAGACTCTGAAATGAGAACCGCTTTGGACTCAGGAGGGGCTACGATGTTCGGACCGTTCCTTAGATTTACGTCGGGGAACGTATTTGTGGTCGAGGCTCGCCGTGGCGAGAAAAGCCCCTTCGTTCCTTACTTTGCCTTCCTTACGTTAGCACGCCGACTGTAACATACCGGGAGCCTCCCAGAATTTTTTGGTGCAGCAGCGCGGGCAGAGCCTTCTTTTCTTCCAGGACCCCCAGCACCACCCATTTGCCCCACCTGTGCCGTCAAGGCGTAGCGGCCCGGGCCTCCTCCCTTCTCAGGTGTTCCATGAGTTTCCTGGGAGCATCAAGCACAGCAGCATTGCCTACTTGCATTGCCCATTTGCGCCGCCAACGCGGGGCACCTAGGGCCGCCCCTTCCGCCAGAGAGCTCCGCTCCATTGAGGACTTCCATTTCTGAGTTTCATTGTCCGCCAAGGGATTCATTCCTGGCCATGGCTGCGTTCGGCCTTCCAAACGTTGCCACAGCGGTGCCACTGAGGGGTCCCGAGCGCCAGCTCTGAAGGGAGTCGAGCCAGGGGGGGATTCCCTGCGTGACGCGTCTGCAGGATTGGCTCAAGCCCTCACTCAGCGCGGCAGCCGATCTCCTAGGCAGCACCGAGCCGAAGATCCCGGGCCATGGAGACTGACGTGGACGCGTATTTCGCGCAGCACGATGTCCCCAGCATGGTCAGCGACTTGCTGTTCGAATTGGGGTTCCACCGCCCGAAGGACGTGGGGAAATTCATGTCCACCTTCGTCGACCGGCGCTTCCGCCTGGACGGCTCCCCAGGCGGCAAGCAGAGGTCGCGGACCGCCGTATTGTCGGACGTACCCATGGAAGACGATTTCAGTACGGTGGAAGTCCGTGCCGCGGTGAACGCGATGGGCGCCGACGCCGCGCGGGCGGGGTCCTTGCTGGAGGAGGCCCGGACCCTTCGCCGCAAGTACCGCGAGCACCAACCCAGGGCCCCACAGGGCGGGGAGGCGGCGTCCGCGGACAAAGGCGGCTCGGTGGCGATCGCGTGGCCCGAGTTCCGCGCCGACTACGAGCGGTTGTTGGCGATCCTGGGCAGTCCCCAGGTCTGGGCCTTCTGCGAAAGAAGGCTGGCGCAGCTGCGGGGCCTGTTCGAAGTCCACGAGGCCCTCAACGGCGAGGCGGAGGAGGCCGAAGCGCTCGCCGCGCCGCCGCTTCCCAGAGTCGACTGCTGCGTGCAGCTGGCCCGGGCGCTGGCGCCCTGCCGCGTGATGGAGCTCTTCAGGCGCAGGGTGGAGGGCGAGGACGCCAAGGGCGCGGAGGTCGCGCCAGGCAAGACCTTGGCAGACTTGGCGGAGCAGTTGGGAAGGCCTCCATGCCCGTCGGACCTCACCTGGGACGCAGATGTGCCGATGCCGAGCGCCAGCACCTTGTGCGGGGTGTTCTCCCGTATATCCAACCACGCCAGGGGGCAATTCCTAGCCGAGGCGGTCTTGGCAAGCTTCGGCCTCCTCGAGGCAACGGATGCGGCGAGCGGCGGCGCGGCGTACGCCGAGTACCGGCTGCCCCTGAGCCCAGAGAGCGGCTCGTGGGGCGACATGGCTCGCTGGGCTGAGGAGTTCAACGTGAAGAGCGATCGAGCTCGATGGGTCATACAGCTCCCCCAAGCAGCGTATGCGGGATTGAAAGAGCGCCGCTCCGTACTCAATTTTGGAGAGCTGCTCGAGAACGCTTTCGGGCCACCCACCACTGCCTCGATGGAGGGCGCGGAGAAGCGGGTCGCGCTGCACAAGCTACTCGAGGATGTGTGCGCCGTGGAGCTCGCAGCCGCGCCCCACGGGCCCCAGGCGCTGGGGGCGGAGGCTGACCGAGAGCCTTCGGAGTGGACGGCGGCGCAGAGCCCGCCGCTAGCCTATCAACTCTTCCACGCGTGGACGCGGCTGAAGGCGCTAAATGCTTCGCGCGCCGTCGCGGGGCTCCAGGAGCTGCCCTTGCGCTGCGCGGCGGCTTCGGCGGAGCCCTTGGCGTGCGGCTACATGCTGGGCGCCACGGGGGTGTCCAGGTGCGGCTCGCTGCCGGAGCACGCGCCGCTGCAGTACCTGTTCGTGCTGGACGAGGTGGACGTGGCGGTGTCGCTGAGCTCCAGGCGCTCTCTGGGCGGCGCGGGCGGACAGGGGGCGCAGGCGTTCTCGCGGCTGCTCCGGGCCGGGGTCCGCGTCTCGCTCTGCACGGAGGATCGGCTACGTGTAAGAGTGACCTTTCGCCAGAGTGCCTGTTGGTGCGGACACACCAGGGCCCCCAGATGGCTGAATTCGGTCCGATGGCAGCGGGTTGCGCGCTCGGTTCTGGACCGGGTCACTCCTGCGTGTAGCCGAGAGGACCCCACCATCTCGCAGCAGTGCGACCAGGCCCTCGCGCTCGAGTACGCCCTGGCGCGGAGCGCCCTCGGTCTCTCGCAGGCGGACGTGGCCGAGGTCGCGCTGAACTCCTCCGCTCGCTGCGGTTTCCCCGAGCTGCGGGCCCCCGGCGAAGCCGAGGGCAGAGACGGCGCGGGCGCCGAGGGCCCGAAGGACAAGAGCATCCGCGAGCGCTACCGGCGGGGGAGGCGCGACGCGGAGGCGGCTCTGCTGGCGCGCCTGGCGCCACTCTCGGCTGCCGGCGCTGGCGCGCCTGCGGCCCCGAAGCCGGGGCCAGCCTCTTCAAGGAGCCCCTGAGTCGGCCGGCGATGGTCGCCGTGAGGGGTCCGTCCGGGCAATTGGAGCAGAGCCTCGGGAGGAGGAGGAGGAGGAGGAGCAGGAGGAGGAGGACAGTTTTAGAATGTATCGGTGGGGTTCAGAAGGGGCCTCCAGGGAGGCTCGTGGGGGCCCGGGAGGTTGCAGGCTGAGCGGGAGGAGGAGGCGGAGGAGGAGGAGGAGCTACCGCTTCCTCCTCCTCCTCCTCCTCATTCTCCTCCTCCTCCTCCTCCTCCTCCTCCTTTTCCTTTTCCTCCTCCTCCTCCTCCTCCTCCCCAGGGGGGGCGGTAACCAGTAATTGTCGGCAAGAAGTGAGAAACCGATCATGTTAAGAATTGTTCGCTCTGCGTTGTTCGCGTGTCATACAGCACGTATACACCAGAACCAGCGATACCCGCCCTTTTCGTCTTCGATCGGACCCCCTTTGGGGGTGCTCATTCCGTGCCTGACACATATAGCTGGCGCAGGACACTGGAGCGATCGGGCGGGCTTCCAAGCGGGCGAGCAGGTGGACCCTAAGATGCGGGTTGAACGGGCGGACCCCAACAGGCGGGTCGGGCGGGCGAGAACTAACGGGCGAGTCGGTCTAGCGGGGCATTGAAGCGGATTTCGCAAAGTGCGAGGAAGCTTCAGGCGAGAGCACGAGTCCTGAGTAGATTGCGAGGAGGTCGCGTGCGAGAACACGATTTCTGGACGTCGATGGCGCAGCGCCTTTGGTAAATTGCAAGGACATCCTACGCGACAGCGCGATTCCAGGTAAAATGCGAGGGAGTCTCGAGCGAGAGCGCGGTTTAGAATAAATTGCGAGGAAGAACCTGGCGGGAGCCGTTTGTAAATTGGGGCCCAACGACGCAGGTTGAGCCTCGAGATTTTCCCTGGCAGAAGAACAGGGTGCGAGACCTGGGGGGCACTTAGGTTGAAAAATTTACCTGGCACAGGGCAAGGGGATCAAGAAAAGTTATTGCCAGAAATGAAACCCAGTTACTTTACATAAAACGGAACATTCGTTTACAGTCCATGTGCATCCATCGTAGTAATTCCCTCTCCCCTTCATTGGGATTTGGTTCATGCATTGGGGGATCGATCTCCCCTGACTAAGATCTCCCGCCTCCCGCCCACAAAGGTTTCGCCAACACCTCCTCTGATGCATGTTACCATCTCCAGATCATGCGGCTCTTGGCCGTCGAGCATTTTTGTTCAAGGCTGGAGCATCGAATTATCGAGGACATCGTTGACGACGACGACGACTGGTACCGTCCGCAAAAGCCGCCCGAACCCTCCGGAAGTCCCCAGAGACCCCGTGCCCCCATTCATGGGAGCCACCCGGATTTTTCCCGAGGCTCTCCGAGGTTCTGAAGAGTTGAGGAAATCCCCGAACCTCTCGGGGCGTCTCGGGGGCCTCTTTGGCCAGTTTGGGGCCATCTTGAGCGTCATGAAGCGCTGTCGGGCTATCTTTGATGCATCTTGGGCCACCGTAGTCACGTTTTGGAGCCCTCGTGGCCCGTTTTGGGGACCTCTCGCCCAGGAGCACGCAGGAGTGCGCGAGCGCGCGCAGGACCGATTTGAGATTGTTGGTCCCCTGCCCTTAATGATAACATACCTATGCGACCACCCTTCGGGTGATAAGGAAGTTCGGGGGGGAGGACCCAACGTCTCATTCGATCGGTTTCACTATCGATCTCACTACCGATCTAACTATCGGTATCGCTCGATCGATGTCACTCGATCGATCTCACATTCGAGATCACTCGATCTATTTCATTCGATTGATCTCACAATCGATCTGACGATCGATCTCACAATCGATCTTACTATCGATCCCACAATCGATTTCACACTCGGTCGCACTATCGATACCACAACCGATTTCACCACCAACGCCATCATAATCATCAACATATTCGTCAGCAACGTCACCAACATCATCATCATCATCATCAGCATCATCATTAGGACACCACCACCATCATCACCTCATCATCATCAACGTCATAATCAACATCATCATCATCATCGTGACACCAGCACCGTCACCACCATCATCATCAACATCCGCATCATCGGGGCGCCAGCATCGTCATCATCGGAACACAACCATCACCATCATCATCACCATCCCATCATCATCATGAACAACAGCATCAACATCAGCATTGGGACACCATCATCATCATTGGGACACCATCATCATCATCATCATCATCGGGACACCATCATCATCGTCGCCATCATCACCATAGCCACCATCATCATCAGGACGCCATCATCATCATTAACATCAGCCTCATCACCATCCTCGGGCCACCATCATCAAAATCACCATCATCACCAGATCATCATCCTCACCATCAACATCATCATCGGGCCACCAGCATCGTCATCATCATCATGATCATCCTCAGCGTCAGCGGGACACCATCATCATGAGCATGTTCTTGAAACGCTGGTGCCCGCCTGTACTACAGCGGCCCTTTTTGGGCTCCGACCAAATTCGCTCAAGCTTAATTCACGGCGGCCCATGTCAGCCGCTGCGCAGGCCTCGCTCAGGGCGGCGACCTGGCTCGCAGACCGTGTGCTGGAGAGCGCGGTGGTCTCAGAAGCGGGTTCCTGTGCGATTGCCGTGCAGGTGTTCGGCGGCGTGCGTGTCGCGTTCGGGACCGTGCTGATCGGAGGAGTGCTCGTGGGCGTGCTGATCGGCGCCAATGGCTGCTGCTGCGGCCTGGGCGATCGGCGACCGCATCGAGGTGCAGTGGCGCGCAGGCGGGAGCTGGCAGGCGCGCGTCGTCGCGGGTTTCGCCACCGCCGCCGAGTTAACGACAGCGACGGGAACAGCACCTCCAGCGGGGGCGGAGGAGAGTGGCGAGATCTTCTATATGATCACGCCCGACGGCGACATGCATCCCCACGCGCTGCACACCGACGTGATCCAGGGCGCGGCGAGAGCCCTCCCAGGGCAGAGGGGCCGCGCGTCAGTGGTTGGCACGGCCCCAGCCGCCAACGCGAGGTCGCACGGCGCCGACTGGACACCCGAGCCACGGGAGTTATTGGAGGCGGCGGCGGCCGCGTCGGCACGGTCCTTCGCCGAGGTGGAGACGACGCTGAGACGCCCAGCAGCGCCCAAGGAGGCGGGCTTGGACTCGGATTCAGCCCCGATTCCGCCTGGCTGGGAGAGCGTGTCCAACCTGCCCGGTCCAGACAGCAAGGGCAGAGCAGCTCGGCCAAGCTGCCTAGCCTGTCGGTGGACTTCGGTGCGATCGGCGAGGGCCTCGGCTTCGTGAAGGTCGGCAACAGCAGCTTTCTCGTGCAGTACGGGGGCCCAGAGACGGCCCTCGACGCGCGGGCGCTGGCGATCCACGAGAGCGCGGGGGACGGTCGTCGCCTGGGGTTCCGCGAGGGCGCGAAGCAGCTCACGGAGACCGCCTGGCCGCCATGGCCCCTGCTGGGCCCGAGGACCGCTGGTTGGGTGCGTCGCTTCATTCGAGACCAGGATGCAGCGCCTCGTTCCCGCCGCGCTCGATTCAAGGCAGAGGCGGGGCTGCCGCCTTCAGATCCAGGGGTCGACTTTCACGAGTTCTGTCTGCGCCTGCTGCAGATCGGCATTCAGATTGACCAGCTGAACGCGTCAGAGCTAGCGATCTTCGAGCTGATCTGCAGGAAGGCGCAGATGATTGAGTACAAGCACAGGGGCAGGTATCTCCACCGCATGGGGGCGGCGGGCGATGATCTGGCCGAGGACGAGCACATCTACCTCGGCACGTCGGAGACCCGCGGCCCCATGATGATCTCGCCCGCCCTCTCGAGCTACGCGGCAGATGAGCTGCACAAGGAGGCGAGCGTCCTCAAGGAGAGACGCAAAGTACGAGGGGGGAGATCGACAGCTCGGCGCGGCGGCGCAGGCGGCAGCGGGGGCCGCGACAACTCAGCGGGCCTGCAGAGCCGCGCCGACAAGCTGGCGAGCGAGAATAAGTTTTTGAAAGAGAAGTTGGCGGCCATCGACCCGAAAAAGGCAAATCAGGAGCGGCTGCGGCCGCGGATGGTAAGTGATTATCAGTGATGGCTGTGCCGCGGGAGCTGTTCCCAGTCCCCGTGGCTTTGCGGGTCGAGGAAGACTTCGACGGCTTCCACTCCTCGACTCGACATCGGAGAAGCCGTGCTCGCCAATATTTTTATTCTTCTCGCTGGGCATGTGAAGCTCTACATTGTCTAAATTGGCTATACGGGCGGGATGCGTCAAGCAACTTCGAGTCTCTCTCCTTGGGTCAACGCCAAGGCATCGAGCAAATGAGTATTAGAATTCAGGCCCTGGATGGGCCACCTTGCACTGCGGCGACGGCCCTCTCGGAGCTGTGCCGAAGTACACCGGGCTATGACTGTCAGCCCGTGAAGTCCATCGTGCACACCGAAGGTCGCGTGAGTCTCCCCAGCGACGCCGTGAAGTGCGACGCTTCCGAGCTGCTGGACGGTCACCTTCGCGAGTTGTGGCGCGATTGGCGCCAGCGACTGCTACGCGATCCCGAACTGGTTCGTGCCCCAGTCGTTCCGTACATTGATGAGAAGCTGCGGCGGTCTCCACGCCACTACGCTCGCTTCTTGAGTGACATGCACAAGGCAGGTATGATTCGTTTTCCCCCCCACGCCCTTCTACGGTGGGCTTGTTCTTTGTCGAGAAGTCGGGGAACCAGCTGAGGATGATCCTCGACACGAGGGCCGTCAACCAGGAGTTCATCGACCCCGACACGACCGCGCTGCCGTCGGCTGGCGTCTGGCGGGGCCTGAAGATCCCAGCCAGCCACAACCTCTCGCTGAGTCCGGTGGACATCGAGGCGGCTTTCTATCGCATCGGGGTGCCGCCTGGGCTGGACGAGATGTTCGTGCTGCCCGCGGTGCCCGTGGACGCGTTGCTGGAGGCGCTGCCCGAGGTGGACATCGGCTCTCGGGTGGAGGGCAAGGTCTCGCCCCTGCTCACTGTCCTTCCCATGGGCTGGAGTTGGAGCTCGTACTTCTGCCAAGCGCCGGTGGTCTCGCAGGTCGTTGCGGCCGGCACCAGCGCGA